TTGGAAGCTGTAAGGCCAGGATGCTAAAAGCCACAAAGTCAGGGTGTTGTGCCCTCAGACTTCTTTTAAAGTTTATTTATTTATTTTGAGAGAGAGAGAGAGAGAGAGAGAGAGAGAGAGCGCACACAAGTGAGGGAGGAGAAGAGAGAAGGAGAGACAGAATCCCAGGCAGGCTCCACGCCATCAGCACAGATCCTGATGCAGGGCTCAAACTCACACTGTCAGATCATGACCTCAGCTGAGATCTAGAATTGGACATTTACCTGACTGAGCCACCCAGGCACCCCTGCCCTCAGGCTTCTAATGTGTCACCTATTTATCACTGTCTTTGCCTCCAGCTGATGTCTAACTAACTGCCTACTCTATTGAAATGACCACGTTGTGAGGTCATTCCCACTCCCTTACCTCTAGGTAGCCTCTAGGAACTGAAGGTGGCCACCAGCTGACAGCCAGCAAGAAATCAAAGCCCCCAGTCCTTCAACTGCAAGGAACTGAATTCTGCCAATGACCTGGGTGGGCTTGAATCCTTCCCCAGTCAAGCCTCAGATGAGGCTGCAGCCCTTCCCAACACCTTCATTTCAGCTTTGTGAGACCCTAAGCAGAGATCCCAGTTAAGGAACTGTGAGCTAATGCCCTTGTAAGTATGTTGTGTTAAGGTGGGAAGTAACATATCATCAACAAACGAGAAATAGAAGAGAACTTCTTCAGCCTGATAAAGGACAAAACCCCACAGCTAACATCATACTTAACAGTAAAAGGCTGAAAATTTTTCCTGCAGGGATCGGGATCAAGACAAGGATGTTCCAGGGGTGCCTGGCTGGCTCAGTTGGTAGAGCATGTGACTCTTGATCTCAGGATGATGAGTTCAAGCCCCACATTGGGCGTAGAGCTTACTTAAAATAAGAAAAAAGATGAGGATGTTCCCTCACCACTTCTACCACTTCTATTTGACATTGTACTGAAGGTTCTAGCCAGGGCACTTAGGCAAGAAAAAAAGGCATCCGTAGTGGAAAGGCAGAAGTGAAATTATTTCCATTTGCAAATGACATGATCTGATACGTGGATAATCTTAAAGAATCCACAATAAACCCATTAGAGTTAATGAATGAGACCAGAAAGGTTGTGGGATATAAGATCAATATTATAAAACTCAATTGTATTTCTATACACTAGCAATGAACAATCCAAAAACTGAAATTAAGAAAACAATTCCAGTTGCAATAGCATCCAAAAGAATAAAAACACTAGAAACAAATTTAACAAAATTAGTGCAAGACTGTACCCTGAAAACTACAAAAGCCATCTAACATAAGCTCAAATCCCATAATTGCTCACTTCCAACACCCCTTTTTCAGATACTCCACAGTTCCCCATGGTGTGTGGGCTCCCTCATTGCAGCAAGCCAATAAACCCAATTTGGTTTGACTGCAGCTGTGTTCTGATGGTCTTTGACTGATGTGCATTAACATAAATGAAGGAGGTTCAGCAGAAACACTCATTTCCCTGCTCTGTGACCTTCAACTCAGTAATAGTGTTCCTATCTGCAACCCCTTGTGTCTCCAGCTCATTAAGTCACCTCCCGCCCATGCTTGGAAGGAAGTTCACAGTGACTTGAATCTAGACATTTCAGTGAGGCCCTCTGCATTGGGTTTATTTGTTTTGTTTGTTTTCCTAGGAATAAGGATCCCTGGGACTGTGGTTATCTGATCAGATATGTATTGTTACTTGGGAAAATTGTTTTGTAGCTTTCTACCACCTGCTCCTATGGTCTGTCTAATTGTGTATAGTAAATATATAAGTGTTCTATTTAGTTACATAGTTGATTGTTACTCCACAACAAAAAGAAAAGTCTATAGGAAGACCAAAAAAAAAAAAAAAAAAAAGGCCCTGACACATTTATTCTCAAGCTGGCCCTGGGAGGCTAAGGAGCTCAGGTTTCCTCAGACCAGCATCCTTTGGACAAACAAGGCTTGGATCACCATTAGAAAATCTTATGTGGAAGCAGTCTCAAATAGGTATCTGTTCACACATGTTCATAGCAGCATTATTCACAACAGCTAAAACATGGAAGCAACACAAATGTCCATCAGAGGATGAATGGATAAGCAAAATGTGATCTATACCTAAAATGGAATATTATTCAGCCTTTAAGAAAGGAAATTCTGGGCGTCTGGGTGGTTCAGTCAGTTGAGTGTCCACTTTCTGCTCAGGTCATGATCTCACAGTTCGTGAGTTCGAGCCCCACATCAGTCTCTGGGCTGACAGCTCAGAGCCGGGAGCCTACTTTGGATTCTGTGTCTCCCTCTCTCTCTCTGCCCTTCCCCCCACCCAAGCTCTGTCTCTGTTTCTCTGCCAAAAATAAACATTAAAATATTTTTTTCTAAAGAAAGGAGATTCTGACACACACTACAACATGGATAAACACTGAGGACATTATGCTAAGTGAGTGAGGTAAGCCAGTCCCCAAAAGATGAATACTGTATGAGTCCACGTATATGAGGTACTTAGAATAGTCAAGATCACAGAGACAGAAAGTAGAATGGTGGGTTGTCAGGAGGAAGGGGAATAGGGAGTTAGTGTTCAATGAGTACAGAGTTTCCATTTTGTAAGATAAAAAAAGTTATGGAGATGGATGGTGGTGATAGTTGCACAATCTTATGAATGTATTTAATACTACTGAAATGTATACTTAAAAATGGTAAAGATGGTAGTTTGATGTTATGTGTATTTCACCACAATAAAACAAACAAAACTTACATGAATTTCTTCGTCAGTTTTGTCTTTGTGTCCCTGAGGATTGTTTTGTTTTAGTTTCATCTGCCCAGAGTCAGGAGAGTTTTTATTCCTGGCCCATGATCAGTGACGATTGGCCTTTGGCCAAAATCTGGAGACACAGTTACACAAGCACCATCCTTATGGTGCATTGCAATTCTTGTGGGATCTTCTCAGTCTAAAACTGCCTCCTCCTGGCCATATACCTGCTTCCTTCATGTTTTCTCAGTGAAATGTCAACACCTATGTTTATCTCTCTAACTGGCATAATTTCACCAGGGAGATTTCAGAATTGCAGTAACCAAACTTTTGCTATGAAAAAGATAATTGATTTGATGGATACCTTAGAACCGAAAGGGCAGAAATCCATATGAAGAGATGGTTTGTTTCATTTATCTAAGAGAGAGATCATTTTGTTTAATAAAGGAGACGTCCTTCTCTTCATTTCTGTATTTGGGAATTACAAAGTGCTGACTTTCGAGGCACCTGGAAGGCTCAGTCAGTTAAACGTCCAACTCTTGATTTTGGCTCAGGGCATGATCTCATGGTTCGTGGGATTGAGCCCCACATCATGCTCTGTGCTGACAGTGTGAAGCCTGCTTGTGATTCTCTCTCTCCCTGTCTCTCTCTGCCCCTCCCCTGATCATGTGCGCACTCTGTCTCTCAAAATAAATAAATACATACATACATATTTTAAAATTCTTCTTTATTTTTTAAATGTTTATTTATTTTTGAGACATGGGGCTCAAACTCACAAACCATGAGATCATGCCCTGAGCCAAACTCACATGCTTAATTGACTGAACCACCCAGGCGCCCCTAAAAATTCCTCTTAAAAAAAAAGTGCTGACTTTTTAATAGTATGCCTCAGTGACATTGTCAAGGGCCTGATTTATTGTTTAAATCAGCTGTAATAACTCTCTTTGCAGTATGTTTATGTCAAATTGTATTTTCTTGCAGCCAAAAGTCTTCCCCTCTGCTTTCTGAGGGAACATGACTAGCTTTTTACAGTGTTCATTTCATGTTCATCTGAAGCCACTATGGGAACCCTTATCAAAATGGACAAACCAATGAAGGAAATTCTACATAGCTTGCCATTATTTGAGATAACCATAAGATGACTGGAGGTTGGCAAACATACTTCATGATATTAGCCACAGTAGCAGAGAGAAATTGGCCTTGACACTGAACTAACATTGATGGGGTAAGTTTAAGGGTCTTGCTGAGATGGTCCCCTTGAATGTCATACTTCCAATGAGACAATCATGGCAAAGAATGTAAAGGTAGGACATGGATAGGAACCAAAGACTTGAGGCCCCTTTGAACACCTCCAAAGTGGCTATGAGCACATTCTGGCTGTGATTTATCTTCCAGGTGAACTGACCCTTTCATCGCCAGGGAGCTTTTGCTGTAAGGGTAGGAATTATCACCCATAATCTTCAGAAAAAGTAGAGAGACCTAATAGAATTCTAAAAGTAAAAGTGGGGCGCCTGGGTGGCTCAGTCAATGAAGCATGACTTTGGCTCAGGTCATGATCTCAAGATTTGTGAGTTTGAGCCCCGCATTGGGCTCTCAGCTGTCAGCACACAGCTTGCTTCGAATCTTCTGTCCCACTCTCTCTCTCTGCCCCTTCCCCGCAGGGGCCAGCTAGCTCAGTCAGTGGAGCATGTGATTCTTCATCTACGTCGGAGTCGTGAGTTCAACCCCTATGTTGGGTGTAGAGATTACTTAAAAATAACAACAACAAAAAAATCTTTAAAAGTAGAAGCAACAGAAAACAAACTGATGGTTGTATGGTTGCCAGAGGGGAAGAGGATGGGCAAAAAGGGGTGGAGGGGTGAGGGACATACAGGCTGAAAGTTATGGAATGAAAAAGTCATGGGGATGCAAGGCACAGCATAGGGAATATAGTCAATGGTACTGCAATGGCATTGTATGGTGGCAGGTGTTCAGCATAGCATAACATACGGAGATGTTGAATCTCCATGAATCACTATGTACACCTGAAACTAGTATAACATTGTGTGCCAACTATACTTCAAAAAAAAAAATCTGGGGCACCTGGGTGGCGGAGTCAGTTAAACCTCTGACTCTTGATCTCAGCTCAGGTCACCATCTCACGGTTCCTGAGTTCGAGCCCTGGGTCGGGCTCTGTGCTGATAATGAGGAGCCTGTTGGGATTCTCTCTCTCCTCTTTCTCTCTGCCCCTCCCCTGTTCACGTTCTCTCTCTCTCTCTCTCAAAAATAAATAAACATTAAAGAATAAACCTCTGTGTTTCTTTAAAAAAAAAAAAAGTAACAGGGTGAGAATAAAGGAGATCATCCTGAGAGATACTTTAGTTGGATACTAGAGGGCGTCATGGTACAATAATAGTCAAGATCCACAGTGGAATAAAAAGAAAAAAAAGGAGTGCTGTAGAAATCAGAAAGTTAATCTTGTTTCATCACCTTGGGGACAAGCTCTGCACCTCTGCAGTCATCAGCTTCTGGAGAATTCCTAAGAATCCTGTTTAATGCCTATTAATATATTTTTTTCAACAAGTTTGAGGGAGATTTGCCCTCTGATTATGCCGGCTTTGTTCTGGTGGATATTTTGAATTTTTTTAAAAGTAATCTCTACACCTAATGTGGGGCTCAAACTCACAACTTTGAGATCAAGAGTTGCATGCTCTTCCGACTGAGCCAGCCACACGCCCCTACATGGATTAAAAAAAAAATTTTTTTTTACATTTATTTATTTTTGAGAAACAGAGTGACACAAAGTGTGAGTGGGGGAGGGGCAGACAGAGAGGGAGACACAGAATCTGAAGCAGGCTCCAGGCTCTGAGCTGTCAGCACAGAGCCTGAAGCGGAGCTTGAACCCACAAACTGTGAGATCATGACCTGAGCTGAAGTTGGACGCTCAACGGACTGAGCCACCCAGGCGCCCCCCTACATGGATATTTTGTAAATGCAGCTCGAACCTGTTAGGGAGACATCTGGAGGCATCAAATGAATTTCTAGTGATATGAAGTTAAATTGGCCTGTAATAGGGTAGAATCCAGAATTCCAAGTAAAATTACAAAACACATGGGCTGGTCTGTTATTAACTCAGAAATAATTAACAAGAGATGGTCCCCAGAGGGGATAGATAGATCTTATTGCCATCAGTTTTGAGGGGTTACAGAGAGGGAGGGAGGCAAACCATAAGAGATTCTTAAATACTGAGAACAAACTGAGGGTTGATGGGGGTGGGGGAGAGCAGAAAGTGGGTGATGGGCATTGAGGAAGGCACCTGTTGGGATGAGCACTGTCAAACAAATTTATTTGACAATAAATTATATTTAATTAAAAAAAAGAAGCGTGTTGACTTTTTACATTTTTTAAAACTTCTTTTAAAAATAAAATTTTTTGAGAGAGAGTGGAGGAGCGGTAGAGAGAGAGAGGGAGAGAGAGAGAATCCCAAACAGGTTCCGCACTGTCAGTGCAGAGCCTGGCCCCGGGCTCTTGGTTGTTTTCTCAGACCATGGCTACTACTCTGAATGTGATTTCTCTCTCAGGCACACACACTCATCCACCTGACAAAAATTTCATAGCTATTGTGTTGTGTTTTTTTTGATGTTTATTTTTGAAAGAGAGAGACAGAATGCAAGCAGGAGAGGGGCAGAGAGGGAGGGAGACACAGAATCCAAAGCAGGCTCCAGGCTCTGAGCTGTCAGCACAGAGCCGGATGCGGGGCTCGAACTCACAAACTGCGAGATCATGACCTGAGCTGAAGTCCGATGCCCAACAGACTGAGCCTCCCAGGCGCTCCATTCATAGCTATTGTTTTAAATATCTCCGAAGTGGGGCACCCGGGTGGCTCAGTCGGTTGAGGATCCAACTTTGGCCTGGGTCATGTTCTCACAGTCTGTGAGTTCAAGTCCCGTGTTGGGCTCTGGGCTGACAGCCCAGAGCCTGGAGCCTGCTTCAGATTCTGAGTCTCCCTCTCTCTCTCTGCCCCTCCCCTGCTGATGCTGTCTCTGTCTGTCTCTTAAAAATAAGTAAACATTAAAGAAATTTAAATACCTCTGAAGGTAGATTTCTTTCTTATAGGTCCCTTCTGGTACTAACATTTCCCTCAAAAAACTAATCTCAACCCCTGGTCCTGTAAAAATTGGACACTGACTTCACAGAATGCTTCTGCTGAGGTCATTATAACCCTATCAGCAAGACCTAGACCATCAGGAATAGGAACTAGCCTTGGGACATTTTGTTCTTTTCAGAGACTCCAGCCTGTTGGGCTGCTATGTTTAACTCCACTCAAGCAATCTTTTCCTCTTGGGGCGCCTGCATGGCTCAGTTGCTTAAGCATCTTGACTTGATTTTGGCTCGGGTCATGATCTCAAATTCTAGTGAGACTAAAAGTAAAAGCCTCTGGGGCGCCTGGGCGGCTCAGTCGGTTAAGTATCTGACTTGGGTTCAGGTCATGATCTCACAGTTCATGAGTTCGAGCCCTGCATTGGGTGAGCTTGAGCCCCACATCGGTTGAGCCCCGTTTCTCTCTCCCTGTTTCTTTCTCTGCTCCTCGTGGGATTCTCTCTCTCTCTCTTCCGCTCCCTCTGTCTCTGCCCCTGGCTCACTTGCGCCCTCTCTCTCTCAAAAGAAAAGAAAAAGCCACCTGGCTCCTTAGAGACCAGCTGGACTTTGGGACATGTTTCCATGGCTTGAGTTTGGTCATCTAGGCCCCTGTCTTCCAAGGTTTATTGTGAAGACTAATCATTATCTTGTTTCTGGTAACTGCTTGTGCATTTGGCGTATGTATCCTGTCCAGAGTGTTAAATGGCAACTGTGCAGCCCTTGTCACCTCGGGGGATCCAACACAAACACATCTAACACAAATCCAAATCCTGTAATGTCTTTCCTAACACCCTTAACTGAGATGCTCATGGTTCCCCATGGTGTGTGTATTCTCCCTTGTTGCAATGAGCTAATACACCCAGCTTTGTTTAATCATTGGTGTGCTCCTGGTGGTCTTTGGCTGAAGTCTAAGAACATTATTTACTTAAAAAATCCAAGAGAATCATCTAAAAAAACTTCTAGACCTAATAAGAAAAGTAAGGTGACCAGAAATAAGATCATATGTGAAACTGAATAGCCTTCCCTTATAGACATTAAAACATTTTTCAATGTAATAGAAAAGGACATTGTTCCTCATGATAAGAAAATCCATCAACTTCCTGGGAATGCCTTGAGCGAGAAAAGAACTCTATACATTTTTACAGAAGAAAAAAAAAATGGTCTGAAAGAATGGAAAGAGATATCGTGTTCCAGGCATGAAGAATCAACACTGGAGAAATGGATCCCCGAATTAATCTATATATTCAATTTAACACCAGTAGAATCCCTTTTCATCTCCTAAATCATGAAATATTTTCAAATGGACAATAATCTGCAGAAGATATTGATACAATGGATGCCTGGGAACTCTCATCATTTTCTCATTTGCCTCAATTTTTTTTCTTTAAGAAACAAAATATTTTGGGGCACCTGGCTCAGTTGATTAAGCGTCCAACTCCTGATTTCGGGTCAGGTCATGATCTCACGGTTTATGAGATCTGCACTGACAGCAAGGAGCCTGCTTGGGATTCTCTCTCTCTCTCTGCCCCTCCCCTGTTTGCTCTCTCTCAAAATAAGTAAACTTAAAAAGAAACAAACAAAATATTTCCGCTCCAGCTGAAACCTGTCCCTCCACCCAATTCTATCCTCCCCTCATCCTCTGAGGTAAGTGCAATTCTGAGTTTATTACAGATCATTTCCTTGCATCTTTTTATTCTTTTATTATATAATTAGGGATCCATGAACTGCATGTATTGTTTGCATGTGTTTAAAACAAATATCATACTCTACATAGCAGTCTTTGACTTTCCTTCTTCTGTCTCATACTGTAAGCTTGAGAATGATCCATGTTGATACACGTCTCTAGTTCGAATTTAACTCTTTAGTGAGATATACATACATAAATGTCAATGTTAGAAGAGTCCAATCTGATGAATATTTTTTTTTATTTTTGAGAGAGAGAGAGCACGCATGCAAGAGAGAGCAGGGTAGGGGCTCCTGGGTGGCTCAGTCACTTGTGTGTCCAACTTTGGCTCAGGTCATGATCTCATGGTTTGTGGGTTCAAGTCCTGCGTTGGGCTCTGTGCTGACAGCTCAGAGCCTGGAACCTGCTTTGCATTTTGTGTCTCCCTCTCTCTCTCTCTCTCTCTGTTCCTCCTCTGCTCACACTCTCTCACTCGAAAATAAATAAACATTAAAAAATTTAAAAAAAGAGAGAGAGAGGAAGAGAGAGAATCCCAAGCAGTCTCTTCAGTCAGCGCAGAGCCCGACTCGGGGCTTGAGCACACAAAACCGCGAGATCATGACATGAGTCAAGATCACGAGTCAGAGGCTTAACTGACTGAGCCACCCAGGTACCCCATGAGTGTTCTTAAACTGAATGCACATGATCATCTAAGATGACTGTGAATGCCCAAGATTGCCGCCAACTTCATCTCCACGGAGTCACTGAGATTACTGAGATTATTACTTTAACAAAGGGAGTTCAGAAATTGTTACGATGGCCTGTGAAAACCTTCAAATGACACCTGTCATGACTGATAATTATGGTGCATAATTATGGAAATTAGGAAATTATGGAAATTAGGGTGCAAAACACATGTTGGAAACTCTAAGTGCTATAAATAAGGATATAAATAAATGCCAGCTTTGCCACTTTCAAGTCAGTGTGACCACGGGTGAGTTGCTTTACCTCTTCGTGCGTTCGGTTTCTCCCTATGTATAATGAGGGTAACAAAAGGAAGGTTTCTCTGTCCCCTCAGAAGGGATTGTCGGCCCATCCTTTCTCTTCCACATGTTCGCAGGTAATTTGATGACACTGCAGATTCTCTAGAGGTGGCTCCCATTGTCTGCTGCAGAGGTTGGCCTCAAATGGGCTCCTTGACACCATCTGAGCTTTGCTCTCTAAAGGTGTATCCGCAGGGGAAGCTGCCCTCCCACCCACTTCGATGACGTGGGGTGCTGGGCCTGGGGCTGGTAGAGCTGCCCTGCCCAGTCAGGCCCTGTTCTCTGACTGCCACTAAGAAAACAAAGCAAGGGCACCTGGATGGCACAGTCGATTAAGCGTCTGACTTTGGCTCAGGTCATGATCTCGAGGTTCATGAGTTCAAGCCCCGCGATCGGGCTCTATGCTGGTGGTACAGAGCCTGCTTCGGAGTCTCTCTCTCCCCCTCTGCCCCTTCCTCACTTGTACTCTCTCTCTCTCTCAAAATAAATAAGTAAACTTAAAAAAAAAAAAAAGAAAACAAAGGAAATAAGAACACTCAGACCAGCACCCCCAGACGCAGGATAAGGTGTATGTGTCCAACTCTCGTCTCTCTTGCTTTCTCTCTGCCTTTCTCTGCTCTCTCACTGCTTTGTTTTGTTCTCTCTCTGCCCATTTTCAACCCCTGCCCCTTGCACTGACTCTCCTAATCTTTATGTCTCTCTCTCCACTTACACTCTTTTCCCATCATTTTCACTTGTCATACTGTTTTTCTCTTGATATCTCTCTGTATCTCTGTCTCTCTTTTGATGTCTCTGTAAATTCTGCCTTCTCTTTGTCTCACTACCTTTCTCTGTGTCTGTCCTTTTCTATTTTCTTTGGGTCTAATTTCCCCATGTCTGTCTCCCCATCCTCTCAGGGTCTCTGCCTTAGACAGTGATTCCTTACCCCACTGTCATGGCTGGACCCCCCCGTACTTCCCTGATTCTGTCCATCTTTCTAACCCTTCTTGTCCACCAAATATTTCCCCCCACTGCCTGCCCCATGTACATCAGTGGGTGGCAAAACCAGGGGCCACAGGGAGTGTGGGAGCCACCAGCCAGGGATGGTGGCAGAGAAATGGGGGAGGAGGGCTGAGAGGCAGCTGAAAGCATATGGAGGGTGACTTGGGGCTAAGGGGGTGGGCGTGGGGGGATCAGGATAAGAAGATAGGAAGGAAGAACTTGAGGCATGAAATCCTCGTTGGAAGCAGATGGGATTAGAGATGAGAGTGAGAGACAGCCAGAGGGAGGAAGGGGTACCTTTCTGCTTCTGAGGCCCCTCAGCCAGAGGGTTATGGGAGGGGGACCTGATAGCCCTTCAGCGCAGCTCACAACTACAACGGCTGCCTCACCTTTCCTGCGGTTCCCTCCATCTAGTGCTGACGGTCTTCCCACATCCCTACCTGCATTTCTGACCCTCACAAAGCATCTTAGTTTGTCTCTGCCTTTTCTCCCCTCTTTTCCCATATCTTCTGTATGTCCCTCTCTGCCTCCATCTTTTTCTACCTCTCCATTGGGGTCTCTGTCTCCCTATGTGTATGTCTCTAGGCTTCTATTTCTCTCTGTTCATCTCTCTATCTGTTCGTCTGCCTCTCACCTTCTCCACCTATTGCCTTTTCTTGGTCTCTGTAGTCCCTCCCGATGGAAACTACCCAGGATCTGCACCCGTATTCCCTTCTCTGGGAAAGAGAAGCTGTCTGTGGGCCCAGACCCGACCTGGCCGTTGCCCCGTGGCCGGCTCCAGCTCCGGAGACCTGGGTGACTCTGGGGGCCCCGGGACCAGCTAGGAGTCCAGGGGCTCCGCGGACGCCAGGCCCCCATAGAGGCCTGATACCGCCCAGAGCCACTCTCACCCAAAGCCCTGAGCCTCGGTTGCTAAGCCCAGTCCTCCGCTACGAAAGACAGCACTGGCCTGGCCCCCGCAACCAGCAGCCTGAGGAGCCAGAGCAGAAAGGCCTGAAGGTCGCCACAGACTGTGCTGAGGTCCCGCAAATCCGGCTGCCTTCCAGGTCCAGAGACAGTGAACAGAGTCCCGGGGTTGGGAGAGGAGGGCAGAGCGCCTGGGAGTTTGGAAGAACCTGAAGGGGAGGGATCTTAAGGAGGAGGGGTGGGGCCTCAAGGTGGGAAGAGGTTCGGTCTAGAGGTTGAAGAACTGCAGGTGTAAGGTGCCTATAGCAGCGGAACCCACTTGGAGGGAACCAAGGAGATACAGTAGGGACGGGGCCTCAGAGGAGCCAGAGCTGATACATAAGGCAGGTAGGTCCTGCACGAGCCTTAGAGGACAGGGATGAAAGATAAGGAGCCAGGGCCTGGAGGGACAGGTCTGTGGATACCACGGCCACATGAGTGGGGTGGACGGGAAAGATTGGGAGGTGTTAGTGGGGCAGTGTTTGATAGGGGCTGGATGGGGTCTGGTAATACGAGGCAGGGGGGTGGCACCTGGTGGTGAAGGAAGAAGGGTCTTGCGTGGAAGTGGCAAGACCAAAGAGGCCCAGAAAGGACCACAGCCTGGGATACCCTGGGCCTGATGGGCGCCTGGGCCGTAAAGGTTGTGTGTGCCACTGTTGCTGATATGCCTGCTCGTGGAGCTTTGAGTTTGAGGCCAGGGCCCTGAGAGGGCTGTGTGCATAGTGCTGGTGGTCCACCCTCACCTTGCTTCCCAGGAGGTCTTCAGCCTGGTGGCTGCAAAATGTCTGCCACTGAGGCACTCAAGCAGGCAGTGTTGCAGTTCTGCTACCATTGAGGCCTTGAAGTCACTGGGAGGTCAGGGACTCTGTACTTTCGCCCCAAGGAAGCAATTTTGGATAAGAACATAACCTCTTTTTAATGGCTTGCACAGAAAAGACCGTTCTTAGGTCTCCCATGAGGCCATTGGTACTCCAGTGGTGACGATATTTGTCTCGTATGTAGGGGTCTGCCTGGAAGAAACAGTGTTTGGGGCTAAAGTCCATCCAGAAAAATTTCTTTCCCATAACCACCTCCCACCCCAATATGAAAACTTTCTGGTTATTTTATGGTTGCCCTTAAAAAAATTACAGGGGCACTGGGTGGCTCAGTTGGATAAGTTTCCGACTTTGGCCCAGGTCATGATCTCACAGTTCGTGAGCTGGAGCCCCACATCAGGCTCTGTGCTGACAGCTCAGAGCCTGGAGCCTGCTTCAGATTCTGTGTCTCCTCCTCTCTCTGTTCCTCCCCCACTCACGCTCTGTCTCTCTCTCTCAAAAATAAACATTAAAAAAATTACAACACAGACCATCATGGAGCACAAGTATCTCTGTGATACAGAAGAGACTGACACAGGGCATCTTCCTCAAGAAAGCTGGGTCTCTCGGACACCTACTTCCATCCCAGGTTCACAGGCCACACAGAGGGAGACTACCTTCATAAATGGGTTGACTGGTATCCAGAAAGCCAGAATTTATTGTGAGGCCAGATTTTCCAGCCTTGGCAATGGAGGCATGGGAAGGAGGGGCCAGGGTATTGGTGTGCATGTGAGGGTAAGGGGTACAAGATGCAGTACTATACCCCGCCCCCCAGCAATCCTTCTGTTCACTCACTTCTTTCCCAAGCCTATTGCCCTGTTTGCTTATGATTCATCACCAGGCCCCCACATACCCTTATTCACGTACCTATTCATATCTTGATTCATTCCCCCTCCTGCTCATTCATCCCACAAATATTTAGTAGAGCGCCACTCTCTGTGGGATTCCAAATCCTACAGCTTCTGAGTCCCTGAAGAGGGCTCTGTCCCTTGTCCTTAAGGAGGGGCTCCCATGGGTGACCCAAGGAATACATACACAGGCATTTCAAAACTGGCTTTAAATACTCATCAGGGCGCCACGAAAAGGGGATGGGGTGAGAACTTGTTACATGTGAGTATGGGGTTGGGGTGCCCTGAGAGAGAAGGGGACCCATCCGTCAGGGCAGCTGGGGTGCCCCACCCCCACCCTGGGACAAGGAGGCAGAGTAGAAGCCCTCTCTGGAGGGTCCCAGGGCCAACTGGGAGCCAGCCCTCCCTTCGAGGTAGATCATCTGGGAGGGAACGGAGGAGGGGCTCCCATGGTGGTGATGAGAGGCAGTCACTTCCTCAGTGGTACTGCTGATAGCTGGGATAGCCTGGGGCTGGGGTACCCTCCTTAGGGGGCAGCTGGCTGGGGTCCTCCAGGAACGGGGGTGCTGGAGAGGACAGAATCAGGTAAGAGTGAGAAGCAGTGCACAGGCAGAGCAGAGCATTCTGCCCCTCTCCCTGATCAGCATGCGCCAGGTACTCACCATTGCGGAACTGCTGGGCAGTGTAGCGAGTGAGGAGGATGCCAACACCCTCTATGAGGGCCAGCAGGATGCCCCCCATCATTGCTGAGCCCACCATGGCCAATGGGCCACCTGGGAGAGTGAAGAGGCAGGGAGAAAAAGGTGAGGGCAGGCGGAACAGGGCGGAAGGGGCTGGGGCCGGGGGCCGGGGCACTCACTGCGGGCAGCCAGCACAGCCCCAGTCAGTGCTCCACTGGTGATGGAGTTCCAGGGATCTTCCTTGCCCCGCAGCCGCACCAGGCCACAGTCGATGGTGGAGAACAGGCCCCCCCACACGGCAAAGCTACCTGCAGGGAGACCAAGGCCTGATTAATGTTCCTGAGGAATCCCAAGAATCCACAGCACAGGGTCTGGGGACCTCCAAGGCCTGAATGCTCTGGCAATGAAAGGGGAGAAAAACCCAAACACAAAGGCAGATGAGTAAACTCCTACAGGATATTCCCCCTCTGCCATCATGACTGCTCCTTCTTCAAGTGACCCCTAATCGTCAGCAACATTCCCTTTACATTTGTAGGGGTCTAAAGTGTTTGGAAGCAAATTTTTCTTCTCTATGACTTTTAAGAGAACCACTTTGATCTTCCTAACCATCACACAGAGTTGGGAATTCTGATCTTGGTTTAAGGGAGAAGGAAAACAGGTTAGGAAAGCCAGTTAATATGATAGTTAAAGGCCTTACTATGTGCCAGGACCTGTTCTAGGCACAGCATGTTATTTGACTTCTGAAGTCTTAAATTCGTTCATATTATTCAAGTGCTTAGCAAAGCAACCGGCACTCAGCAAGTACTACGTAAACTACAGAAATTATGAAACAACTTAGGTGGTTATTGCTATCATCATCCCCATGTTACAGATGAGGTTTGAAGAGGTTAAGCCATGAGCCCAAAGTCATACATCAGGGAAAATCCAGGGACTGGATTTAAACTCCAGAATTCACATTCTCACCCCCTCCAAAACATCACTGACCCAGAAATCCCCAGGTAGAGTTGGGGCTGGAATCTGTACTCCAAATTTGCAGTCTAGACCCAAAGGAGCAACCACCCCCAACTTGGCATCACATCTCTTATGTCTCTCCAAGCCTCTCACCTCCAATCTGGGGGGCTCGGATCCTCACAGCGTTGACACTACCTCTCAATCGGTGCCGTATTCCCTGGGAAAAGTGAGGAGTTGGGGAGTCAGAATAGGGATAAGGTCCCTGGCACACAGGGTTTCTAGCTTTTAAGAGAGGGAGAGTGATGGATTAGGGGTATCAGGAGTAGAGATGTGGAGAGTGGCCAAGAACTAGGAGGCTGGGGAGCACTCTAATATGGGTGTCTTCAGACCAGCGCTGGGAAGTTCTCATTTGTTCAATGATTACTAGCACCTGTGTGCCAGGCACCATGCTGTATGCAGGGATAGTGAATGAGACAGACCTTAGCCCCTGCCCCCTCAGAACTCACGTTATAGTGGGAGACAGATCCCTAGCAGAGGTACAGATAAACAAGATGCTTTAGACAGCAATACATACTCTAGAGGAAAGAGGATCAAGAAATATGATAGGGGTGCCTGGGTGGCTCAGTTGGTTGAGCACCCGACTTCAGTTCAGGTCATGATTTCATGGTTTGTGCGTTCGAGCCCCGCGTCAGGCTCTGTGCTGACAGCTCAGAGCCTGGAGCCTGCTTCGGACTCTGACTCCCTCTTTCTCTGCCCCTCCCCAGCTTGCTCTCTCTCTCTCTCAAAAATAAATAAAACATTAAAATTTTTTTTAAAAAAGGAGATACGATGACAACTGAGGGGTTAGGAAAGGACTCCAAAGGAGGGGGCATTTGTGCTGAGGTTTTGAGGATGAGAACAGGAAACTTGGGCAAGGATCCAGGAAAGAGTCCCAGGAGTTGAGGGGAGGGATAGGACTAGATATGTAAATTGCAGGGACCTAGGCAAATGGATGGCCTTTAAAGCCATGAAATTTGAGAAGATCTTGGGAGAGGGTGGTCAGAGAACGAGAGAGAACTGATTAGGTTAAATTAAAAGCATTTTCAGGGTGCCTGGCTGGCTTGGTCAGTAGAGCACGCAGTGCTCAATCTGAGGGTGGGTCATGAGTTCGAGCCCCATGCTGGGCATTAAGCCTACTTAAAATGAATGAATGAATGAATGAATGAATGAATGAATAAATAAATAAAAGCATTTTCTTAACTTTAAGGCTGTCCTTCTCCTGCCAGTTAAACTCCTGTCACTTCCCCGTACAGGTTTCTGACCCAGAATCTGCCTCTGGGTAAAATCTTTGTGGCTTTGCACAGTTAGGATTTGGTAATGATCGTTTTGACAGTGCAGCATTTCTACAGAGGAGCTCCAGTTGGGTTGGGGGGAGAAGGGGTGGTGTTGAGGGATATGGGGCCGTCTGCAGTTCTCCCCAAATCACATATCCTGGAGCCAGGCAGGGCACACAGTAGGTGAGCAGGCACCATAACGAGTAAGTGCATACGACTGGCAGCTCCAAGCAGTTTTCAGAGCAATATCGCGTGTGGGCAGGGAAGGACCCCCTGCACCACCCACGGAAGGCCACAACTCACGACAGGGGCGTTGCGGAAGCCCTTGATGGCCTGGAAAACTCCGCCGCCGATGACGCCCATAGTGAAGGCTCCACCGCAATCGTCCACAATTCGCCATGGGCTGCAAGCCAGAAGGGGAAGATGGGGTTAAGTGAGCCCCTCGACCCCCGCCAGGTCACATGGACTCTTTCCAACTGGGAGAAACCAAGTCACCCGAATGAGAAGCAGCACTTCAGATAATGAGATTATTTTCTCCCTCATTTATGCAAGAAATGGTGCAAAAGGGGAAAAGTATTAGTCTTTGCCCTGTCTGCACCTCCCCCTATAGCCAACTAAGGAATCTGCCAACTGCTTTACTACCATCAAAAGATTAAGTGAATTCATACAAGCAGAGTGGGAGCGTGTAAATCAGCGTTACGTGTTAATTTGCTAATGTTATTAAAGCGAGAAATGGTCTCACCCCCGTCTCCGACAATGAGCACGTCCAACCAAACCCCGCCTCCTTCCCTCCTTTTTTTTAACCGGCTGCAGCTGGTAAAAACCAAGAGCGGACCGTGGGGAGGATCCAGCTTGTCCACAATAGGCTCACCCAGGCCCCGCCCCCAACAACTCAAGAGACGGGGGAAAAGCCACGCGTGGCAACCCTGGGGATTTCCGCTCGACACCGCGCCACCCCTCGGCCGGAATGGACTCGGCCCGCGTGTCTCTTTTAGTTAACAAAGAGGGACTGGGGAGATACGGAGTCGAGGGAAACGTGGAGTGGTTGGTCCTGCACGGCATCTTCTCCAGGCACATGCCTGTGGCTCCTCTTAACGGAGCCCGCGTGGGAGGAACGAAACTGGGGGAGCGGAAGGATACCACAAATGTCTGAGTCTCCCGAGTCTGGGATGTGGCGCGGTGGGGCCAGCACCTCTCCCGCCCGCCTCCCCCAGCTGGCCGTGGCGCCGCGGCAACAGTCCCGAGGCCTGTGCCCATCGCCGTACCAAGGCTCCCGAGCGTACTCCTCCATGGCGCCGGCGTCCGGCCGCGCAGTCTGGCTGACCCCTGGCCCGGCCACGCCCCCACTGTAAACGCACACAGGCGCCCAAACTTGCCACCTATTCCAAGACAGCGATTGGGTCGCTTTGCCGCTCGTCACGACAGGATCGCACTGTCATTGGCCACCCAGGTTTGCGTCATCTGCACTGCAGCCCGAGCGTCGTCCAGTTACTTCAAGGCTCGGGGAGAGACGAGCTCGTTCTGTGCTTTGGGAGAAGGCAGTCGTATGGCCCTGGCGGTCTTAGTGGCGACAACAGAGAGGCGGCCGGTCTGACAGCCTTCCGTTACTCGCGTGACTGTATTGGTAATGTCGGGGTGGGCGTATTTTTTGGAGCTGGAGGAAGTGCTGCGCTTTGCTCCCCCATCCCCAGCGCTTTGGTTCCTCCTACCCAGCAGTCTTTGGGGGAAGTTGGGTGAGCCATTTCTAGGGCGCGAGTGAACCGAGCTTGGCCCCTTCGGCGGTGGGCGGAGCCTGGGCCCGGGAGAGCTATACTGGGTCCTGGAACACCCAGCCTGGAGGGAAGGGTTGGTGAGTTTTGGTGGCATTGCCACCTATCTTCCATCTTTTAGCACGTAGATTCCGTCCACCCAGCTATTGGTGCAGGTGGGCGTGAGCACATGCCGGGAGGAGGCGCTTGGTTTTAGGATTTGGATTTGAATCCTCATTTGAGCTGTTTTTGGGTTTTTTTTTTTTTTTTTTGCCTGCATGTCCGTCCATCCTAGGTCCGTCTGCTATCCGCTATGCCGCTGCCTGTTGCACTGCAGACCCGACTGGCCAAGAGAGGCATCCTTAAACATCTGGAGCCTGGTGAGCGAACTAAGAGCAGATGGGCCTACCATGTGCCAGGCTTGACAGGCACTTTGTTGTTGATACTTCCACTTGATACCTAGCATGGGCCTACCGCGAACCAATCAGTAGGGTGGCAGGCATTTCACTGATAACAATATGGGTTCCTGGTGTCCATTCCTATTTCATCCTTTTTTTTTTTAATTTTTTTTTCAACGTTTATTTATTTTTGGGGCAGAGAGAGACAGAGCATGAACGGGGGAGGGGCAGAGAGAGAGGGAGACACAGAATCGGAAACAGGCTCCAGGCTCCGAGCCATCAGCCCAGAGCCCGACGCGGGGCTCGAACTCACGGACCGCGAGATCGTGACCTGGCTGAAGTCGGACGCTTAACCGACTGCGCCACCCAGGCGCCCCCCTATTTCATCCTTAATACTGGCACCTAATGGCACGTGCAGTCCATCAAAAAATCCGTGGAAGTGATTACAAAGTATGTAACGCTAAGGGCAGCTGACAAGGGTAATAGGATAATAAGATACTGGTACTTTGTTCTTTATCTTACTGGTCGATACCATTATCTCAGACCTATTGTGGCGCTAGTAGTGATCTATACCTTATTGGTCACCATATCAGTAGCTGACCTGTATTTGGGACCTAAGTGTTTGGTATATACATTATGGTTAACAGTATAAAATAATGATAGGAACTATCATTTACATGCTTACTCTGCTGCTGCTAATGTTTACACCTCATTGTCAATAATAGTAAAAGCTGACATTTGTTTTGGGCTGCATTGTGCTAGGCACTGGAAAGTACATCTTATTTTCATCTTACTGATAAATGACATCTGTCGCCAGCGAATGTGTGCCAGGCATAGATCTTGTGGTTAACAATACTGATAATGATCATTGATCATCTATTTTAAGCCTATTGAGTACCAAGTCTTGTGCTGATGGTATATATATCTTACTAATAATACTGATGCTTACAGCTGACATCTTTGGGCCTATTGTGTGACAGGCAGTATGCTGTTGCTGACATATACGTTTCATCGTTAGTTATATCCACAGCTGAAATGTGTGGTAGGCCTACTGAGGGTCACATACTGAGCTGACAACCTACACCTTTTTTTATTTTACTGATAGTGACAACTGTTGCAGGCCTACTGTGTGTCAGGCCTAGGAACTGAATGGATTCAGAGCAGTGTTTGGACAGATCCCTTGCTATCCAGACCTGCTACTCAATATACAGAGTCCGAGGGGCACCTGGGTGGCTTTGTCGGTTGGGTGTCTGACTTCAGCTCAGGTCATGATCTCATGGCCTGTGAGTTCGAGCCCCGCATCAGGCTCTGTGCTGACACCTCAGAACCTGGAGCCTGCTTCAGATTCTGTGTCTCCCTCTCTCTCTGCCCTTCCCCTGCTTATGTGCTCTCGCTCTTTCTCTCTCTCTCTCTCTCAAGAATAAACACTAAAAACATTTTTAAAAAAGGATTAAAGGGGCGCCTGGGTGGCGCAGTCGGTTAAGCGTCCGACTTCAGCCAGGTCACGATCTCGCGGTCTGTGAGTTTGAGCCCCGCGTCAGGTTCTGGGCTGATGGCTCAGAGCCTGGAGCCTGTTTCCGA